ATAAACGAGGGTGAGGCAGGAATGCTGCTGGGCAGTTGCCAGTTGACCAGATGCAATTGTGACTAAAATTTCTTCTATTGATGCACGAAATTACACAAAGGTTGAAACCTAGTAGTTGGGGGTTAAATCCTTGTCATCCATAATCTTCATAAATAAAATAAATTTTAGCATAAAGTAATGCAAGCTTGTGAATTGTCCATGTTTTAAGCCTAAATGGCCTTTACATGAGGGGATGTGTAATTCAAAACCATCATTGGTTCTCTAGCTCACTGGTTTTAGGATTAGGAGAATTGGTTCTTGACATGTTTTATACTGATGCTCTTCTAGGGTCTATTTGTGAAACCATATAAATACAATGTGAAATGTTTCATCTATTCAGAAAATTGGTTCCTTCCATAAATAGTCTCAAAAGTCACTCTGTTAATTTTTTTTTGCAATAGGTCCCCAAGCAGATTGAAGAGAGAGCATTAATATGTGGTCATGGGTATAGATTGAAAAATCCTGTAATATCTAAGTAGTTCTCCAGCTGATAAATTTGCATAATGATGATAATCTGAGTGCTCATGCATACATGATTTTTATTGAAATTGCAGAATACTTTAACCCAATCCCTTTTCAGGATCAAACTGCATATATCCATCTGACTTTCTACCCTTTACTAGAAGACCACTTCTTTTAGTCATTGATAACGACAACAGCAAAGCTTTTAAGGCAAGCCTTGCATACTTTATTTATGTATCTTGAATATTTTTGAAATAATTTATTGAATTTATTACTCATGTCTAGTATTTTATATATGCTAACTTTACCAAATAATTAGCGGGGATGTAGCTCTACAACTTGTAGTTACAAGAAACATTATTTATCTTGCACCTATAACCTTTAGTATAATGATCATCCTGCTATATGCTATACCACTATAGCGTTTTTGGTGTCAACTATTTGTGCTGCCATCCAGAATTAACAACTACGCATTCTTGAATGTCAAATATAGGTGTAGATCTACATAATGTATGTAATTATGTCTAGATTTAGTTTGAAGCAGGATGTTAGATACTATTGTGCATTATTTCAAGTAGGTTTTACAAATTGTGTAAAGGAAAAATGCTGGTTGGTCTGGAAGGATTCATTGCTAATATTTTCCTTCTTCACATCCTGTAGTCATAGATTACTCTATGACATTTAAAAAGTAACTGATCAAAATATGCAGGTCATAGCAGAAGCAGAAAAGGGAGAGTCAGTTGCTATGCTCCTTTCTCCAAGCTGTTCACCTGCTGTGTCTGATTACTCATATAATTCAAATGGGAGCCTATTCACCATGTTTCTTACAGCTCCACTACAAGCTTTCTGTCTGCTGCTTGGACTTTCAGGCACTGATATTGATTTGGTCTGTTATAAACGCCCCTTCTGGCATGATAGCAAGTTCCTTTTTTTTATTAAAAGAAAAAATAAATTATTTTCATTTTCTGAAAGTGGGAAGTTTCTATGCATGGTCCCTCAGCAACTTAAATTTGATTTCAGGACACATTTAACAAAGCTGAAATGCTGCTCTCATCTTCATTAAATAACTGGGGACTAGCATTGGCAACATCAGACACACTTAATTCTGTTTGGGGACAAATTTTAGGTGATCCCTTCATAAGGAGACTTCTTTTGAGGTAAAACCTGTCTTTCATTTCCGTTTTGGTATTTATTATTATTATTAGTTTACTCCTCTGTTATACTACCTTGAAATCCATGACACATCTTGACTTTTATCTTCTGTTCTGCCTCCGTTAGTGTTCATTAATTCATTATTGTTGGTGATTCATCACAATTTTGGAGATTGATGGGGCCATTGTTAAGAACATAACACTGATTTACTGTGTCATTATGCTTTATTTGAAGAAATTTAGTTCTGGTGTTGTGAGGGGTCAATACATTTTAATTTGAATGTTGTTTATTTTTATTATTATTATTATTATTATACTTCTCTCTCCCGTCTGTGCTCCAAACTGTACTTATACCATGCCTTCTGTGACACATCTTAACTTATATCCTATTGTCTATTGTGCTTCTGTTAATGTTCATTAACTCGTTATTATTGATGATTTATTACAATTTTAAAGATTGTCAGGTCTGTTGTTAAAAACTTAAAACTGATTTAATGTGTGATTGTGCTTCATCTAAAGAACTTTTGGTTTCTTCTACTACTGTGAGGACTCGATACACTCAACACTAATTAAATCGCTTGAATTACCTGCATCAACACTTTTTAAATCACTTGAATTACCTTTTCAAATCATCTTATCCAACTCGACCTTGAACTACAATAATTTTTTTTTGTAACAATGGATAACTTGGAGTTAGTCTAACTATGCTAGTGTACACTGTACACTAATTCTGTTGTTTGCACAGAAATTGAGACTTGCAAATTCTCTCAAGTGTCAACTAACTCAAAAGTCTTGACTGATGTTACTTAAAGTTTCTGTTGAAAAATTTCTATGCGTTGAGTTACTTTAACGTCATGATATTACAGGTTATTGATAGTTTTATGCTTGTGAGTTGTGTTCATAAATTTGTAACTCGATCGATGTTCTTATGCCAAGTTTGTTTTCTTTTGCTTCTCAAGCATTTTTTTTTTTTGGATAGATTAATGAAACCATCTTTTTCGTTTCCCACTTCATGCAGATTCATATTTTGCCAGGCAGTGTTGACCCTATATGCACCAGTTTACAATGAAAACAAGTTCCTTCCAACATGTGTCCCTTCTCTTCCGACACCTGTCCTGCCCCAAAGTTACTCATATCAGAGTGTAATTCTGAATTTAGCCAGCATGTTCGGTGCAACTAAGCATTTCATCTTCTCAGAGGATGTTCTTCCCAAAAATATACAAACCGACATGAATCAGTTAACTCTGTGAAGATAACCAAAAGCTTCCCTTCAGAAGCATAATAATGTATATAGCTTGTTTGTATAGAAACTGAAAAACATGAATTCTATCAATATTTCCTATTAGTTCCTGGTGGGTTTCCTAGAATTTAAGTTCAGCATTTGGTGTGAACATGGTTTTTTTATTATTAAACTATTTTATTTTTTTTTTGGATTTTAGGTTTTGTGCTTTTGACAAGAGAACCTCTAACGTGGATTGATGTTCAACTTGATCATTACATGACAAGTTGCACGCTCGTGAAGAATGGAATTAGACCAGAGGGAAGGAAGTTTGATATAGGGATCAGTGTTTTTGCAAAGAAACAACATATTTTTCTTTTACTACAACCATTGTCATGATGATTTAGTGTTTCTTCACTTAAATGCTTCGCTTATGTTTTGCAATGAATAGAATTCTTGCTTTAGAATCTCTGCATCTTGATCATCATTGTTATTTTACTAGATAACTAACATCTTATTTGCATTGTAAAAGTTGTTAGTCATGTGCTTCTGCTCAAGGGCATCGCTTCAGACATTCTTTTGATTACTGCAGAAAGGTCTTTCACGTGTGTGGACACACACAAGTGATCAATGGAAGCATGCATTGTAGTAAAACAGCTAAATATCCTGGAAAATACGCAACAAAAGTTCGTAATTATAAACAAATGCTGACTAAGATTTAATTGTTGAATGTATATTAAAGAACTGCTAGGAAAGGCATAACTTAATTTAATGATCTTATGCACACCAAAGATAATTAAATTCCAAAAATATGAAATATAGTTGGATTTTCCGGTTTTTAAATGGCTTAAAACATTTTGTCAATTCTACTGTAAATAAGATATTTTAGTAAATAAATTTAAGACGGTTAGAATGAGTCCTTTTAGCTTTCTTTTTATATTTTTTTTTTGGCCATGTATTTATTTTTCTTCTTCTGATCGGTTTCAATTTACTCTAATTTGTCAACTATTTTGGATTTTCTTTTGCCAAAAATGCACAATAATTTAACAATAAATATGAAAACTAACATCAAGTTAAATGTTTTCCCTTACCAACAAAGTCCAATATAAGCATACTAACAAGAGTTCAATTCTCTAGCTGTATTTATGAGAAGACTTTTTCTGAGAAAGATAAGTTTCATCTCAGTAATATGTACACTTCAAAAATAATTACTCTTCAACGATAGGTTGAAGAATATCATTGATGCATATAAAATAAAATGTTTAGGGTTTAAGTTCTATTTTAAGTATTTTTATTGCTTAAATAAATTTAATTTATTCATAGTATTTGTTTGACGAAAATTTTCCAGGCTTAATTACAAAAGCAGCAGTGAAAGGGAGCATATAAATGAGCTCCACAATAAAATAAGTAATAACCATTAATTAAAAATTAACAATTAATATTTAAACAACTATTCATGTATTAAATCTCAATCTTGCACAAGAACTGAGCATCTACACAACAGAATGCAGTAATCAACAGAACACTCCTTGATCGTCAGTCATTTTGATCTTCATTTATATAAAAACATGGTAATGTTCCTCTAGTCCATATTTTATTTAAACAAATAAAAAAGTACCTCCAAAATTTCCATGTTTCCAATTCAAAATAATAGGAGATATATCTACTAGTCACATTGAAAACAAAACTTGAACTCATTATTACTACTAAACCAAGACCCCTAAGTAAAAATTACAAAAATTACAAAACAGACTTCTCTAGTCAAATTTGCTAAAAGGAATGCTCCAAAAGATAGTGTAAAAAATCATGGTATTATTTGATAGACCTTGAAAGTGAATGCTCAGTTAGACAGGAGCAGCAGTCTCTTTGACTGGTTGATCCTTGGACAATGTTTCCCAGTTGATTTGCCTAAGCATTTTAAATCTTTCATCCAGTTTCACAAAACCAGCTTCAGGAGCTACTACATCACTAGTGCCAGCTTTATATAGTAGCACAACACTTGCCCCCATGTCAGGTCCATGGAGTTTTCCAGTCAACAGAAGTCGAAGGGGCATGAAAAGTGATTTTCCCTTGAAAATGAAGATGAACTAGTTAATGACATATATGTGACAATTGAAAATATACAAGGTTATATACTTTTAGTCCCCACAAATAGGGAATGTTCATTTGTATTCCCTAAAATTTAAACCTTTTTCTTTCGGTCCCTCACTCATGAAAATGTGTCATGTGGTCAATATTTCCATAAAGACAAAACTTAAATACAGTAGTTCTTTTAATGTTATTTTCCAATCAGAATTGAGATTTTACATCAGTAATATATGTTAACATTTAATGGAATCATTTAATAAGCATATTATTATGGTGAAACTCTAATTCTAATTGAAGAACAAAACCAACAACACCTATGATACTGCATGTAAGTTTTACCCTTTCCATAAACAAAGTATCAAAAAGAGACAATTTTTTGGGAAGGACAAGTACCACATCCAACGCACTTCATAAATGAAGAATAAAAAGGAAACTATTTATTATTTAAGGACTAACAATGAACATTGCTCTATTTACAGGGACTAAAAACATTTAAACTATATGTATTTTATTCCATAGAGAATGTAAATGGTGTTTAAGACTATCCAATTGAGCTCACCTTGCGCTTTAGCGATTTTCCGAAGCCTTTCACCCACTTTTGCCAGCCAGCATGGCCCTCTTCAAGTGCTGCTACCAGATCACCACTATCATAGGCAGCCAAGAGGCTAGCAGCAAATTCAGAAAGATTATCTTGCAAGACAGATTCTGTTTCATCGCTGCCAGAAACATGTAGAAAGTTGTAATCATTAATAATGCATTTACCACTGCCATCAAGAATCAATATATCACGTTCTACAAATATAACATTTTCTTTTGTCCTGCCATAGGTATTCTCTAATCCACTAGATTAATTTCGCTTGCAGAGTTGCAGTACTGTAACTACCACCAGCCCAAAGGACAAATATACCAAATAATTATATATAACATTTAAATATTTAATTATATAGCCAACAACAAGAAGCTGATAGGTTGTTAAACTCAGAATGTCAAAGCTAAATTCATAAAACATTGTATATCTCAAATTTTGTTCATTATATATGCCAATAACACAATTAAGAATATCCTCTTGGAAGAATATGAGCATCACCTCTGTAAAGTAGAATGTAAAGGATAAGAAAGCAAGTTAGTAAGGGCCTTGTCTGCATCATTTGTCAAGTCAATCCCATCCTTAAGTAGTTGAACTGCTTCCTGTTGGTCAACCATGTATTAGCACTCACTTTTGAGTCCATTGTTACAAGATGTGACAATAACATACTAAATCATTATGCTTCAGAAAATGAAACTAAGCCAATATTATTTGTAAGGAGATGGAATCAAGAAAGTATGCAATTAAATCTCACATCAATAAAGGGCCCTTCTGATACTGTGAGTAAGCCAGATGTCTTCCAGTACTCTCCAATAAGTTTGGTCAACTCCTCTGATGGACGTGCTCTTAAATGCTGACCATTCATCCACCTAAATTGAAGACATAAAGAAAATTACAAGGTCATTAATTATAGTTCACTCGTTTACTTTTAGCAACCATGCTTGAGAACAAACAATCGTAACTTCATTTTTACAATACGACTACCAAACTAATTGGACATACAACAATCATGCATATCAAATAATTGACTAAACAGAAACCATAATTTCACATTCCAAACAAACAACTGTCTAATAAGTAATTGTAAGAAATTTGACATGTTTCACCTCAACGTAGGATATAGGATTACTATGGAAAATAACACTGCTATTATTCATATAAGTATGCAAAAAGCAACAATTACCTTAACTTAGTTGAGTCAAAAATAGCACCACTTTTGTTAACACGTTCGATTGTGAATTTTTCAACTGTTTGACACAAGAAAAGCATTCTGAAGTTCGAGAATTGCCAAGAAAATTTCTCATTTACAATACAAACTAATAGCATGCCAGAAAAGTAGAGTTCAGACAATAATCACTAACCAAGTTGATCAAGTGTAAAAAACTCATTTTCAGTTCCATCGCCCCAACCTAATAATGCTAGGTAATTCACCATTGCTTCAGGTAGGTATCCCATCTCCCGGAACTGTGAGTGAGCAGTTATTAGAGTTTGGAACTAATTATCATTACAAGAGAAGAAGCTTTTCAAAAACTTGACAGTAAAAATTAAAAGGAAAAAAGTGCCAAGTGAGGCCTCTTAGGATAAACTTTAGTACAGACAAAATATACCTGACCCACTGATGTTGCCCCATGTCGTTTTGATAATTTACTCCGATCAGGAGCTAAAATCAAGGAAACATGTGCAAAGTAAGGCATGGGAAATCCTAGTGCCTGTAAACACAATCATGTGCAGATGCAGAACAAACCATAATCAGTAACCTATATTATTGCACGACGGAAGGAAGAAAGTAAAATTACACATTGACTTCCCAATCCCTTGTTTTGAGAAGCTACTCACTGTTGCTTCAGAAAATATGCACAAATCTTATCTTTTGAAAATAAATCTTATCCAAACAGTTTAAAATGTTTCATAAGTGTTTTTATGAAAAAAGATGTGCATTATTTAAAAATAAGTTTAAAGTTATTTAACTCAGATAGAAGTCCTCAATAATCCAGCCTCCTGTTTATAGCATCAACTGCCATAACACATTAATTTTCCAAAGCAACAACAATATACCTAGCACATAGGTTTCAGCAATTTACAACGTATGGATCACTTCTAAAAATACAACTGAAAATTTATAGGATGATACCATACATGCTGATTTAGACATGTTCTGAGAAATTAATAGGCCAGATAAACACCAAGTTCACTCTATTTTAATTGAATTCAGATATAATTTTGGTGTTAGATTGAATTGACAAACAATGGTAGGCTCACTTTGAATTTTATGATGCTGCAAAAGATTATATGACAATATGACATACTATATATGCTTTGTACTTTACCTTATATATTAAGGCCTGTCTTAGAGTGTTTGGTAAATGCTCCTCAGCTCTGAATTAAAAACATTTTTCAGAATAAATTACTGAAAAATATTTGGTGAATCATTTACATTACTAAGAAATTATAATCACTACCTGATAACATGGGAAATAGCCATGGTAGCATCATCCACCGTTACACAAAAGTTATAAACAGGCTGACCATTACTCCTCATTATCACAAAATCTCCAAGCGTATCCAAGTTCCAACTAACCTTCAAGACACTACCAAGGAAAGTTAATAGCTAGTCAATGTTATTTTGAAATAAATGTTATGCACCATTTGCCATATTCTGTTAATGAGTAGCACATCTCAAACATGTAAAAAAAAATATGAAATGTGTTTTTTCTCCTGTGAAAAATTAACCAAATTTAATTTCATCACCAAAAATAAATATTCCACTTCTTAATTTTATTGAAATTCATCTTTTTAGTCCTAGCCATTAGATTTTCCATGTTAAGTGATTTGTTTGTCACATCATCTCTTAACTAAAAAAATGAAAGAGCAGAGACTAAAAACATTTATGTAAAATTCAGAATCAAATGGAATCCTTTATACAGGGACCCGGATCAAAATTTGTTAATTTTCAAGAATAAAAAACATTTAAAACAGAAAAAAAAAGGGGAAAAATTCACAACATTATATTAATTTTCCATTTCAAAAGAGATCACAAATAGCAAATTATAGGATGAAATAAAATACTTCCATCATATCAGTAGATTTCTGGATATGATGGTAACATGTATTTAAAGAAATGAAGTAATTTATTTGCACCATTGAGGATAAAAGAGCTGGAAAAGGGTGGAAAGGACTCACTTCGCCTCGTATTAGGTCATTAATTTTTAAACTTCCTTTAGGGACACGAAACCGGTATGTATAAGGAGTTCCTTTAGACAGCTCTTCTTCTACTTCGTTGTTTGTTGCACTGGCCCATCTACCAGTGTACACTGGAGGCAGTTGCTTTAGTTTAGCATCCTCCTTCATTTTCTCTAGTTCCTGTTAAGATGAACAAAAATAAATATAAATAAGTAATCTTGACACAATTCTGATAAAATATATAAATGCTCCAAAACAACACTTTTTTTAAAGGAATAATTTTTTGGTCCATTTCTTCGAGTTTAAAAAAGAACAGCAATTTTATTACCCAACTAAAGAAATATTTTTTGGGTTATACTTTTTTTCTTTGAAAAACATATTTCTCATAATATTTTTGAAACACTTTAATTAAAAAAAAAAAAAAAAAGCAACCATTCATAAAACACACAAACACAGGGCACTAAAACCTTCCCAAATACATGCAAACATGCCAACACAACAAGTACATTACAAACACAGTCCAGAGCATCACATTCACATGAATCAAGTTCCAGTATACCTCATTAGAACAGAAGCAGCGATAAACATGACCAGATTGGTGTAGGTTCTCTGCATATTGTTTGTACAAAGAATTCCTCTCAGACTGCCTATATGGTCCATAATCCCCTCCAACACCAGGCCCTAACAAATTCACCACAACACACAAACACTTAACCATCAAGAAAAACGTCACCAAGCAAAACCATAAAAAATGCACAAGGAAAAAGATTAGAGGAAACCTCAATGTTATTTGACACCTAGAGAGAGAAATATAGATATAATAGATGATATGACAAAGAGATGAGTAATGATATAAAGTAAACACCCACTTTAGTCCTTGAATTTGATAGTCACTATCAGATTAGTTCATGAAACTAATAAATTGTAAATTTAGTCCTTAGAATGTCAAATAAGTCGTTAAATTTAACTACTTACTGTCATTTTAATTCCTATATATATATATATATATATTATCACTTTAATCACACATTTTTTCAAGTTTTGGCCTAATGTTATTTTCAATTTACACTTTCACGAACTAAATTTATTATTTCTTAGTTTTAGACACCAATATGACAGCCCCATTAAAATTCAAGTGAGTGTTTACTCAAACGTATATATAAAATCTTGTATACCAAAAACCTCATTTAACACCTATCATTTTTCTTTAATAGTCTCTTCCAATCATACATATACTTCTCTCTCTTTCTCACTCTTTGTGTTAACTAGCACAATCTCCATGAATTATTCTCCTAAAGAGATAAAGAAGGGTATAAAATGTGTGTGTATATATATATATATATATATACATATATATATATATTCATAAAAGAAAGATTATATCCAATTCCAAACAAGGAGTGATTTAGTTATTCATTTCCATGGTAGCCTTCAAGAAAAAGATGGAAAGAGGAAGAAAATGTACTAATGATTTGATATTAAGCTCCAAAATGAGTGTCAAAAACAAAGTTTATCATGCCCAATATATTTGAGAAATAACTTACTAA